CATGGCCCGCAGACCTCTCCTGCCGCCCGTTGCTCCCCTCAGCAGTGTACTTCGGTCCTTCTGCCTGCTCTGCTCCCCGCTCTGGCTCTGGCGAATTCTCTCACCCTCCTGCGCTTCTGACTGTACCCAGTGCTTGTATAAATAAATAAATAAATCTTAAAAAGAAAAAGAAAAAGAAGTTTTAAAAAAAAAAGTATCCAAATTTTAAACTATGCTTCACTTCTGTATCATACAGAATACGGAGCAAACTTTTTTCCTACCCTTAGCAGAGAGTTGTATCCCTTCCTAAGCATGGGTCAGCTTCCAGCATTTCATCCCTTGTGCTTTCACTGTCATGAAATGTATCTCAGATATTTAGTGACAAGAAAGAAAAGACAGGCAGTGCCCTGTGGATGTGGAGAGAGTGAACCCCTGGGTGTCTGGGAGAGTGTATAGAGATGGAGTCAGTGAGGAGGGTGACAGACACAGTGAGGTCAGGGGGTGTGTGTTGGGCAAGACCTGTTTGTCCGTGATCCTGGAGCTTCCAGAGTGAAATGTGGATGGTCAGGGATGAGGAGCAGGTATTGTCAGATCATGTGGATCTGAAGCAATTTCCACCCCAGGAGGGGGCGTTTATTAAAAACATCTCTTCCAAGCTTACCTCAGGGATCTGAGGTCTTGTCTCCTCTCTGGTCCTGCTGGGCTGGCTGGTCTCCATCACTCCACATTTCCGTGCACTTCTGACAACAGCTGTGAGCACAAGGCAAGATGAGGTCTGCGGACCATCCACACAGATCTGGCCTCCTCAGCCGGGGTCACTATGTCTTCTCTCCTTACATTCATTATTGTTCTTAAGTGTTGTGTCCAGTCTGTCCTTGAGTGCGATTCCACAGAGATAACCACTTAAAATCGACTGCCACGGGTAGAATCTAGAAGACGGTGTTCCTGTTAGGGGGAAAAGGATGTCCTGAGCTAATTCCATACAGGCTTCGTGGACTCCACCCCCACTCCAGACCAAAGCCATCAGGACATTGGGAAAGACAAATCCCATCACCACCAATGGGAAGGTTGCTGGGACCTGAGGGTAAAGTTAAGCAGCCAGGTGTGGTATAAAACCAGACACGTGGGCCTTGGGGGGGTTCCCTTTTGCCTCTCCACCAGCTCGGGGCTCTCGGCCAGCTCTCAGAGTGCCATTGGGTTTCCAGGTCAGCGGATCGGGTAGGACGTATTTAAGACTTTATTTCCCTATTTTCTCCCTGAGTTGTACATTTCCTCATTTCCCCTTCCCTTGTAAATAAACCTTTTATTAACCTTTTGTGTGTGCCTGCAGTAGAGTATTCATAAGTTCCTTTAAAGCGCGCAGGTGAGGACCCACAGCCAGGCAATCCGTTTTATATCGGGGCTGCCCTGTAACATTCCCAGTGTGGAGGGGATGTGGACAAAGTGAACCCCCTGGGTGGCTGGGGAGAGAGACCAAAGATGGAGAGTCAGTGAGGGTGACAGTGTGAGGTGAGGAGGTGTGTTTGCCTGGGAAGACCTGCCTGTCCCTGACCCTGGAGGTTCCAGAGTGAAATGTGAATCTTAGGGAAGAGGAGCAGGAGGGGATGGTGCTAGAGAGCTCGGTGGGGACCTGCTCCCTTGGCTTGTCCAGTCCTTCATCACAGACAGACTAGAAAGCCCTCACAGGGGATAACATGCTATTTTATTTGTTGCATTTTAATTATTTCATTTATTGTACTTAATTATTTTATTTCTTGTATTTCATTTATATTAATTATTTTACTTTTTGCCTTATTTTTAGTTTATTTTAGTTCTTTTTTTATTTAGTTTTGCATAGAACTGGGAAGTAGGCCAGAGGTTGGAGGATTCACTAGAGACAGAGTGGGGAGCAGAACAGGCAGATCTACTGAAATAAACTGCTAAGGGGAGCAGCAGGGAGACAGCAAGATCTGGAAATTGAACTCAGGCGCCATCCTGTGGGCGATTGCGGTGGCAGGAGATGGAAGTCACCAGGGAGGCCCTATTTTAGTTCTTGTATGATTTTATTTAAATTATTTTATTTATAATATTTTAAGGATTTCTTTTTTAATTTTTCGTTCTCTTTATCTTAGTATTTTATTTTAGTTCATTTTCTTCCTTGTATTCCCAAGTACAGCACACCTAGGAGTGCTTACTTTCTTCTTTTAAATAAAGTTTTCTTTACTTTCTTTTAAAGATTTATTTATTTATGCATAAAAGAACTGGAGTACAGGCAGAGGTGTGGCGGATGAGAGGATTCACCAGAGACAGAGTGGAGAGCCGAAGGGGCAGACTGACTGAAACACACTGCTGAGGGGCGCAGCAGGGAGACAGGACAGGTCTGCTGCACCACTAGGGCAGCTCCCTGGCCGGCCTGGGATCTTCTGCAGGCTGCAGCCTGTGCATAGTGTCACAGTGCTGTGCTTAACCCCTCGTGCCACCAGGGAGGTCCTCTTAACTTAACCAAAGTTTGTTTCTCTTTGCTTACTTATCTCAAATGTCTGTGAATTCCGTTTTATGGCTTCGTAGGATAAGAACCTGCGCTGATTTAAGGGCTAAAACAACAGGGCACATGGACTCCGCCCACACAGAGATCAGTTAGTCTGGAGTCCCCACTGTGGGAGTTGGCTCAGCCCCCCAGTGACCAACAGCGACCAACAGCAAAGGGTGGCTGGAGGCCAGGGCGAGGCCTGGCAGCAGGAGGCTTGGCCCGAGACTGCGCATGCGGGGTGGGCAGGGGGGGGGAGGCGGCGGGGGGGGGGGGGGGGGGGGGGGGGGAGGCGGCTGGGGGACGGCGGGGGGGGGGCGGGGGGGGGGGGAGGCGGGGGTGCGGGGGGGGGGGGTGCGGGGGAGGGAGGCGGGGGGAGGCGGGGGAGGGGGGGGAGGCGGGGGGGGAGGCGGGGGGGAGGCGGGGGGGGGGGGGGCGGGGGGGGGGGGGAGGGAGCCGCACTGGGGTCGGTGCGTGGAGGGGGCACGGGTGGGGGTGCATATCCATGCACTCTGGGAGGCTGGTGGGGTGGCAGCGCCCTGGATCAGGGACTTAAGGCCCTGGTGGAGCTGGTGACAGAGCTTGGGGCCCGCAGCCCAGGCCTCCCCTGTCTCACACTGCTCCCCTCAGCTGGGTATTTCAGTATCTGTCTGTTCTGCTCCCCTCTCTGTCTCTGGTGAATCCACTCATCCTGACCCTGAAACCTCTGGCCTGCACCCCAACTCTTGTACGCATACATAAATACTTGAAAAAGAAAAAGGAAATGCTGATGATCAGCGCCACTGGAGGTGGGCAGCACACTGGCCTCCTGGTCTTGGGAGGACACAGTCTGGTCAGGACTCAGGAGAGAAGTCTCGGGCCTCACCCAAGCCCTGACTCCTGATCCACCACTTCCTGGCGGGGAAGGAAAGCGGAAGCGCCCATTGGCCGTGGGGGGGCAAGGGGGGAGAAGGGAAGCAGGGGGGGTGAGGGAGGGGAAGAGCCTGGAGGGGCCAGGGTGGGGGCAGGGGGAGGAGAGCCACTTAAGGTGGGGGGGGGAGGTGGTCATGCAGGGGGGTGGGGGAGGGGAAGTGGTAGGGGAGTGGAAGTGGGGGGGGCAGGGCGGCCTGGAGCAGGGAGGTAAGGCCCTGGCTATCAAGCTCTGGGCAGCAGCCCAGGCCTCTCCTGTCTCACACTCCGCTCCCCTCCGCGGGGTGTTTCAGAATCCTCTGCTCTGCTCCCCTCTCTGTCTGGTGAGTCCCCAGCAGAGCAGGCCCGTCTTGTGAACACCCTGCTGAGGGCGCGGCGGGGAGACACAGAGGTCTGGGGATGGACTCAGGCCACCCCATGGGTTCCCCCCGGGAGGTGGTGGTAGTCACCAGGGAGGCCATTTTAGTTCTTGTACGATTTTATTTAAATTATTTTATTTATAATATTTTAAGGATTTCTTTGTGATATTTTCATTCTTTTTATCTTAATGTTTTATTTTAGTTCATTTTCTTGTGTTGGGTTTTCTCTCCTCACCCAAGTCACATGGACCCACCAGACGCCGGGCCAGGGTGACGGGCTGGGGTGAGTCCAGGGCAGGTGGGGGTGACCGGGCAGCTGCGGGGACGGCGCGGGCAGGGCCTCGGGGAGTTCCAGGGGCTTCTGGATCAGGGCAGGGGCGTCTGAGAGGCGCCCACCAGACACCCCAGAGACGAGGCAGAGAGTCCGGGAGGAGCAAACACAGCAGGTGACCCTGGAGAGAACAGCCCTGAGCTCGGGCGCTGAGGGGAGAGCGGGGGTGGGAGTAGGGATGGGGGGAGGACGCGCCCCCCCGGAGCAGAGCCGCGGGAGACAGCGCCGCCCCAGAGCAGGGTGCTGGGAACAGGGAGAAAAGGGTAAACACCCCCAGACCCGGCCCCCCGGGGCCTCCTGCCCCCCAATACAGCGACCCGGAAGTCCTGACTTTCTCCCTGAAATAAACTTTCCACCTTAAAGTTGCTTCTCTCTGTCACTCACCTGAGCGCCTGCGAATTCCTTGTCACGGCTGGTGGGACGAGACCCTGTGGCGATTCGGGGGCTCCGTCCCCGGCGCGGGGACCCAGCACCCCGGGGCGTCGGCGTCCGGAGTCCGGGAGAGTCCGGGAGAGTCTGCGGTGGGGGAGGGGCGGGCACCGGCTTTTCTCGGGGGCGGGGCCGGAAGCGGGCGGGGCCGGCGAGGAGCTTCTAGAGTCTGGGGAACAATCCTCGTCGGGTGCGCGGGATTGTCCGGCGCGAGCGCGCAGCAGCAGCCCCCCCGCCCCCCCCGCCCCCCCCCCGGGATCCTCCTCCCCGCCTCGCGCGGGGACCGCCCGGCTCTCACGGGTGCAGTCGCAGGACCCGCCCCGCTCGGCCCCGGACAAAAGCGCAGGCGCCCCGCGGGCGTGGGGTTGGGTGACGGGGGAGGAAGTTTCCAGACTTTCCGCTGGGATTCTGCTCCCCGGCGCCTGGAGGGGTCGCCGCGGGCGGGGCAGGGGCGGGAGGAGCGTCTTCCTCTCCTGAGCCCCGGGGCTGTCCCGGGGCGCCTCGCGGAGACGGGGTGACTGGGCGCGAGTTCTCAGCCTGGGATTCCAGGGAAACCCTAAGCCACTCCAGAGAGAAATAAAAGGTTATTGAGAAGGGGGTGCAGAGCAGAGGGCGACGGCGCGAAGGCAGGGAGCAGGCGAGCAGCGGGAGGTCAATCACTCAATACACATCTCGCCAACGTGCGGCATCGCGGCGCCAGCCCGGTCCGCGGACCCCAGAAGCACCCCAGGGGCTCGTCTCTCCCTCTGGGAGCCGCAGAGCGGCCTGTCCCGGTCCCGCCCACCCGCCCTCGGGGAGTCCGGCTCGAGCCTTCCGGGTCGTGCGGCTCAAGGGCCGCGTGTGAACAAGGTGACCCCAGGGATTCCCTCCTCGGGAGGCGGCGCTGGGGCTGGGCCTCAGCTGCTATGAGGGGCGGGGGTGCTGCCGCCTCAGCTGGGCTGACGGACCCTGGGGAGCCTTGGGGAGAGAAAATCCTCATTTAGAAGAAGAGTTGGAAAGACCAGGAGTGGGGGAAATAGATGGGAAGATGAGCAAGTGGAGGGAGGAAAGGGGGGGGAATAGAAAGTTGTAGCTGCTGGGGGAGGAGAGGAGCTCACAGATCCCCCCTGCCCCCCCCCAACACACACAACCCTGCCAACTGGAGAAGGGGTTTTATGGCGCTGTGCAGAGGAGAAAGGAGAGGGGTTATTCCAAGTACATGTTAGGGGTCGGTTTGTTCTCTTACATCGTGGTTAATTTTTGGCAGTCTTTGATGTCCCTCTGCTGTACTCCTGCTACTTTTCCCTCCACCACAGCAGCCATGAGCCCTCACCACAATCCGGGTGCTCTTTGCTCCACGTATTTGTTTTTTTAATGACTGTTATAGTTAAATACTTGCAAAATTCTTTGTTACCACTGCTGAGCTCTTTCTAAGGTCGTCCTTAGTAATTGGGAGGAAGAGTGAATAGTGTCCACTCTAGTTATGTATAAATTCTACCCCAGGTGTCACTCCAGGCACAGGTAACTCTCACCAGTTGCTCTCTTCCCCTCTCAGCAGGAATGGCCCTGGCATCTCACACCCTGTGTTTTCTTTTGCTGCTGCCCCTGCTGGGACCAGCCTGGAAGACTGTGGGCTGTGAGTGTCCTGGGGTCTCCTGGGGAGGAGGGTAGAGGGAGGACCTGAGCAGAGGGACTTGGGGCAGGTCTCAGCAGGGGGCGCCTGTTCCCTTCTCTGAGAGAGAGCCAGGGTGTGGTCTGTGCAGACAGGCTCCTGGGGATATTACACCCAGGTCTCCAAACTCAGCCTAAGACACCTTCTGTCCCCTTGGGCTCACAGGAGGCAGCTCACCCTCCTGCCTGCCCAGTCCCAACTTCTCCTCCAGGAGCCTTTCCTGAAAATGGGGACCATCATGACGTTCCTCATCTCCTGTGGTGTCTTTTCCTCTTTTCTGTAGAAAGTCCTCTCAGTGAGATAGTAAGTCCTAGGAGAACAGACAGGGTCTTGTATTCTTGTGCCTCAAAACTCAGAATATGGGGCCTCCCTGGTGGCACAAGGGGTTAAGTCACAGACTATGAAGCTATCCACAGCCACTGCCGCAGGAGTTTGATCCCCAGCCAGACAGGGAACTACCCACATGGCACAGGCCTCTCCTGTCTCACCTGCTGCTCCCCTCAGCAGTGTGTTTCAGTGGATCTGCCTGTTCTGCTCCCAACTCTGTCTCTAAATCCTCTCACCTCCCTCCCCACACCTAGCCTATACCCCCCCCCAGTTCTCCTATGCATTAATAAATCTTAAAAAAAAAAAAAACCTCAGAATGTGACTGAAGCTAGTCATCAGCGTTATCCTCCAGGGCACAGGAGGGTCCATGGTGGCTTCAGAGTATTTAACCCCCAGAGAGTTCAAGGTGGAGCAGCACTGAGATGATGGGGGGCTGGAGGGAGACCCCTCCCTCTGCAGCAGGCCCTGCCCAGGGCCCCCAGGGCCTGAACTGAGTTTTTCTCTCATAGCTGCTGCTCATTCTCTTTGCCTCAACCTCACTGTCACATCTCACTCCCCACCTGGGCAGCCCTGGTGTGCAGCCCAGGGCTCAGTGGATGGAAACCCTTTCATTCAGCACGACTGTGACAGCCACAAGGTCATGCCTCTGGGTCCCCTGGGGGAGAAGGTAAAGGCCACCGAGACATGGACACACTTGACCCAGACACTGGGAGAAGTGGGGAGAGAGCTCAGCATGATCCTGCCTGACATCAGACTGGAGAAAAACTGGAACAAGAGTGAGTGTGGGGAGGGGCAGACAGGTGGAGACAGGGCCAAGAGGGGAGGGAGAAGCCCAGGGGGAATGTGCTTTGTGTGAAAACTGAACACTGTCCCACCTTAGACACTCGTGAACCTGATGGGCAAGGAGGGGCAAGACCTGGAGAGAGAAACCCAGGCCCCTAACTGTGCAGAGACACTGACCCCCACGCCCTACTTGGGGTTATGGGGCAACCACAGTGACCGAGGTGTTTGTGTGTGGATGGCAGGTCCCCCCACCCTGCAGGCCAAGCTGTCTTGTCAGCGTGAAGCACATGAGGCTCTGGTGCATCCTGGGAGTTCAGCATCAATGACATAGGGTCCGCCTACTTGATGTGATGACTGGGAAGTGGTCGGCCATTGGCCCTGGAGCCAGCGGGGTCAGGGAGGAGTGGGAGAACAACCAGCAGCTGACAGAGTATTTGAGGAAGATCTCCAGGGGAGACTGCAGTCACTGGCTTCGGGAATTCCTACCACACTGGGAGGATATGCTGGAGCCCTCAGGTAACTGAGCAGGGCGGGAGGATGTGGGAACTTAAGGCTCTGACCTTTCTTGGGGGGTGTGAGTGTGTGACTGAAAGTGATGGGTGGATCATCTGATTTCTTGATGGGTGGACTCCTGTCTGCAGATTCAGAGACCCCATAGGATCACACTTCCTCCTCTCTAGAAGCATTGGGAACAAAGTGTTTTCTTGATTAAAAACCCATCCAAAGTTTAATTATGCTTCACTTCTGTATCATACATAATATGGAACAAACATTTTTCCTATGCATTAGCAAAGAGTTGTATTCCTTCCTAAGCATGGGTCAGCTTCCGGCATGTCATCCCTGTGCTTTCACTGTCAGGAAATGTATCTGAGATGTTCAGTGAAAAGAAAGAAAAGACAGGCAGTGCCCAGTGTAGGGGGGATGTGGAGAGAGTGAACCCCTGGGTGTCTGGGAGAGTGTATGGAGATGGAGTCCAGTGAGGAGGGTGACAGACAGTGTGAGGTAAGGGTGTGTCTGCTGGGGAAGACCTGCTTGTCCATGATCCTGGAGCTTCCAGAGTGAATTGTGGACCATCAGGGTTGAGGAGCAGGTATTGCCAGATCATGTGGAGTTTCCATTTTTAATTTTGAAGCAATTTCTATCACAGAAGGTGGTGTTTTTAAAAAATACCTTCCAGGCTTTCCTTGGGGTTCAAAACTATGGTCTCCTGGTTCTCGATCAGTCCACATATCAGTGCCCTTTTTTTTTTTTTTTTTATAGAGGCATGTTTTATTTATTTATTTGTTTGTTTGTTTGTTTTGTTCATACATGCACTGGGTACAGTCAGAAGCGCAGGAGGGTGAGAGAATTCACCAGAGCCAGAGCGGGGAGCAGAGCAGGCAGAAGGACCGAAGTACACTGCTGAGGGGAGCAGCGGGCGGCAGGAGAGGTCTGCGCGCCATGTGGGACCCTCCTTTGGTGGCCGGGGAGCAGCCGGGGATCGAACCGGCGCCACAGAGGCCGTGGGCAGCTTCGCAACCCAGCGCTCAACCGCTGCGCCACCGGGGAGGCCCATATCAGTGCACTTTTAACAAAAGCTGTGAGCACAAGGCAAGAGGAGGTATGAGGACCATCCACACAGGTCTGGCCTCCTCAGCCGGGGTCACTGTGTCCTCTCTCCTTGCATTCATCATTGTTTTTAAGTGTTGTGTCCAGTCTGTCCTTGAGTGGGATTTTTCAGAGATAACCAATGTTGATTGGCAGGGGTGGAATCTAGATGATGGCATCCCAGTGTGAAGCGGATGTGGACAAAGTGAACCCCCTGTGGCTGGAGAGGGAGTCTGGAGATGGAGAGTCAGTGAGGGTGACAGTGTGAGGTGAGGGGGTGTGTGTGTCTGAGAATTCCTGCGTGTCCCTGACCCTGGAGGCTCCAGAGTGAAATGTGGACCATTAGGAAAGAGGAGCAGGAGGGGATGGTGCTAGAGAGCTCAGTGGGGACCAGCTTCCTTGGCTTGTCCAGTCCTTCATCACAGTCAGACTAGAGTGGCCTCACAGGGAAAAATATTTTGTTTTATTAAATTATTTCATTTATTATACTTAGTTATCTCTTCGTTTTCATTTAATTCTTTTACTTGTTGCTTTATTTTTTAATTTTAGTTATTTTTTATTTTATTTAGTTTTGTGTAGAACTGGGGTGTAGACCAGAGGTTGGGGGGTGAGAGGATTCACCAGAGACATAGTGGGGAGCAGAACAGGCGGATCTTCTGAAATTCACTGCCGAGGGGAACATCGGCTGAGACAGGAGAGGTCTGCTGTGCCATGTGGGTAGCTTCCTGGCCAGAGATTCAACTCAGGCCATTCTGTGGGTGTTTGCTTTGGCAGGTGGTGGTAGGTCACCAGGGATCATATCACTTATATGATACTATTTAAATTACTTTATTTATAGTATTTTAAGGATTTTTAAAAATTTTTCATTCTTTTATCTTAATATTTTATTTTATTTCATTTTCTTTTACTGAGTTTTCTTTCCTTACCCAAGTTACATGGACCCACCAGATGACGGACCAGGGTGATAGCGGCCGGTGTGAGTCCAGGGCAGTTAGGTGTCATCAGGCAGCTGTAGGGACAGCACAGGCAGGGCCTCTGGAGAGTTAAAGTGGCATCTGGGTAAGGACAGAAACATGAGTGACTTACTCTTGAATGTCCCAGGGGGACTGCAAGATGTGGCTTCAGCAAGTGGCAGTGCACCAGGAGATTCCAGGGAAGACAGGTGTGGGGAAGGAAGTGTGGATTTCTGACATGAGTGTGTGTGTGTGTGAGAGAGAGAGGGGGAGACTGGGTGTGAGTCTGCCTGTGGGAGCAGCTGATCCTGCGCAGGGAGCGGCACTCAGGAGACCCTGGTCACAGGGCTGTTCTCCCTCCTTCCCCTTCTCCTCCCGCCGTCTCTCCCCCTGGGACATTGCTCTGGGGATTCTCGCTGACCCCACACACGAGGGAGTCATGCTCTTTTCGAGATTTTCTTCTTACTCTTCCTTCTCTGAGAAACCCTCTCTCTGTCTCACCTGCTGTGTGTCTGCAGTCCGTCCTGTCCGCCTCGCGTGCCAGCTCCTGAGAGGACTCTCTGCACCCTCTCCTGGGCCCTCCTCTGTCACAGCAGGGATGACTGATGAGAGGTCACCCCAGTTCCCTTCACTGTGTGAGCCCCTGGGGGACCCACCTCCTGTCTCTGGCCACCCCAGGCCTGTCACTGCGCCCCCAACAGTAGAGGAGTAGAGCGTCCTCCTGTGTGCTGGACCTGGACCAGCAGGCGGCGAGGCGGCCTCTTCTCTCATATGGGGTCTGGTTGAGGGTTTTCACTCTTGGGTTTCCATTGCAGCAACACCCACCACAGCACCTGTCACTGTCACTTCCGAGGCCACAACTATGAGCCACATGCCCTGGCTGTTCCCTGTGATCCTCCTCCCCTGCATGTTCCCACCTGGAATCATGGGTTTACACTGAAGGTACTGGGGGCAGAATAGAGTGGGATGGGATGGGCAGAGGACTGGGTGTGAGGGAGGGTGTGGAATTTCCAGTCTTACCCCATCCCCTCCCTGAACCTGCTCATGGTGGATTGAAACCAGGTGAGAAGGGCTCATGTCACCTGAGCAGAACTTGGACAAGCTCAGCCCTGAGTGCCTAGGTGTCCTCACTGTAAATCCAGAGGGCGGGATGGGACACCAAGGCTTATGTAGTTCCAAAACACACTGCTAAAGTTATGAAATAACTGTGGATCATTGTGAGTAAAAATTATTAAAGAAGTAATAATTAAGCACACAGGGCGTGCATATTCCTGAGATTCCAGCAGAAAGATGAAGGAATAGCACGCACATTCCTAGTCATATTCATATTTTTCTCTCAAATAGTTACAATTTTTTTCACAATCAAGATTTATTTGAAACAAACAAATTCCAAAATACTTCTGCCCCGAAAAACAGTAGTGTTTCAGAAGCCTCTAGAAATGTTCTTGTTGCCTCACTACAATTAGTTTTAGTAAGTATTAGACAAATAATAGGGGAAAATAGTCTAAAACACTAGCAAATTTTAATTTACTGTAAGTGGAGACCTGTAAAGTTTATCAAAAGAAATAGGACAATTTGTCAAAAAAAAAAAAATCAGGGTGAGGTAAATTGATTTCTCTGGGTCTTGGCACAACAGCCCTGCATTCTTCCCCCATGACCAAAGTATTTGTAGCCCACAGTTGCAAAAGAAACATTTACCCCAAGGTCACGGCCTATTGGGCTAAGTTGCCTCATCAGTCATGTTATGAATATAGGTTATCTATACCATCCTCAGTGGGTGTATCTGATACTACCGAAGATTCCCTTTTTTTTTAATGAATTATTTTATTTATTTGTGCACACAAGAACTGAGGTGTAGGCCAGAGGTGTTGGAAGTGAGAGTATTTACCAGAGACAGAGTGGGGAGCAGAGCAAGCGCTGAAATACTGCTGAGGGGAGCAGGGGTTGAGACAGGAGAGGTCTGCTGTGCCATGTGAGTAGCTCCCTGGCCTGAATCAAACTCAGGCAGCAGTGGCAGGTGATAGCTTGATAGCACTGGGACTTAACCCCTGGCCACCAGGGAGGCCCCTGAAGATTCATTTACTCCACTCATCTGTAGACAACTAGTAGGGCAATTCCTGCGTCAATCACTCCATTTATTTATTTTTCCCACTGAGGAAAGAATGCACCAAATACATTACAATGACAAAGATTCAGTTTATCAACTTTTAAACCCAAACTTCACATTATTTTTTTAAACAATTGTCAAAACTTACTAAGTTGCCAGCATTGGTGCACAACTAAAACATCCTCAATTTATATCCAGCCAGAAGTGTAGTGTCTCAATGCATTCATAACTTCACTAAATACGGGGCGGGGTGGGGGGGAGTATAATTATTTTTATGGAAGATTTCCACTCCTGGCAATGCTGACTTCACAGCAGCCTGACACTACTTGGCTCACATGTCAAACACAATGGAAAAGCAGGTCCTGGCTGAGATCAGTGCATGAAAGAGTCACGGCCACCTTGGATCATGCTTAATAAAAAAATCAAAGGGCGTGCAGAGATTTACAACTATTTTAAAGACAAAAAATTATGATACTATTATGTGGTCTCAATAATGAGTTGTTTAAAAATACTTTAGATTAAGTACAATTATACAGAAAGTTGAGTTCATTTGAAATCTTCAAAAACTGTCCCTGTTAATCCTCAAACGATGCATGTGATCTTTCACATTTCTGTTTAATGAATGCTTTGAATTATTTTTCTCCAAACACAGGAACTGCTCCACCTTCTTCAACTTCTACTCTCTTGACCATTCTCTACAATTCCCCCGTGGTCTTCTTCTTGCCATTAGCTATTTTAGTGACGTTGGCACATATTTGCTAGGGGCGGTCTCTTCCACCAAAAAGAAGTGAGGTCACCACCTAGTGACACAGAGGAAGTGAACTCTGTTTCAGAAGAGGAAACTCCCCTGCAGAAGATGGAAATCCACCAAAGCAAGGATGAGGAGGCAAAACAAGGATGAGGAGGGAGGGGTGTGTGTAGGGGTAGGGGGGTGGGGTGGGGGGGTGGCTGGAGTGTAACAGTCTCATCTTTGTGGTCCCGCTGGGCGCGCTGGTCTCAATCACTCCACATTTCTGTGCACTTCTGACAAAAGCAGTGAGAACAAGGCAAGACAGGTCTGCAGACCATCCACACAGATCTGGCCTCCTCAGCCGGGGTCACTATGTCTTCTCTCCTTGCGTTCATCATTGTTCTCAAGTGTGGTGTCCTGTCTATGCTTGAGTGGGATCTCGTAGAGATAACCGCTTAACGTGGACTGGCAGGGGTAGAAGAATCTAGATAACGGTGTTCTGAGTGTGGAGTTGATGTGGGGAAAGTGAACCCCCTGGGCGTCTGGGGAGACAGTAAGGGGATGGAGTCAGTGAAGGTAACAGTGTGCGATTGTAGAAGGTGGCAGACCCCTTAGGGCCCTAGCTTCCGCAGCTTCAAGCAGGCGTTAGACAAAAGGGACGTTCCAGTCCATGTTCAAGACAATGAGGGGCCGAGTTCCCCGTAACACCCGCCCGGGTTTTGTGTGAGCGCGCGAGGGCGGGCGGGGCTGGTGTCTCTCTGTCCCGGGGCGGGTGTGTCCCCCTAGGGGCGGTTCTGAAGAAATTAAGGAGGCGTTTCCCTGCCCTTGTCTGGGCCAATGCACAGCTAGAGACTCGCCTGGCGCCAGCTGCCCGGTGAGTCCTTCCCCCGGCCTCGCGGGGGACCCCCGGCCCTCACAGGTGCCGTCGCGGGACCCGCGCCCCTCGGCCCGGACGGCGGCGCTTCGCCCCGCGGGCGTGGGGTTGGGGGGCAGGAGGGGAGCTGGGTCGACTCGGCGATTCTCACATTCCTAGAGGCCCCCCCCCCCGTATGGCGGAGTTTGTCCCTCGCGTCGGGCTCCAGATCCTGCTGCTGCTGCTGCTGCGGCGCGGTGCGTGGGGGGGCTCTCGGCGGTGAGTGTCGCGGGTGGGGTGTCGGGACGCGGGGTGTCGGGGGCGGGGTGTCGGGGCGCGGGGTGTCGGGGGCGGGGCGGGCGAGTCCCAGTCAGAGCCGCGGGGCGAGCCCCGGCGCTGCGGGTTCACCGAGCGCGCCCCGGAGTCGCGCGGGACGGGGCACCCCTCGCCTCTCATCGCGCCCCAGGTCGGGGCCCGCGACTCTCCCCTGCCCCCGGGAAGGGACTCTGGGAAAGGCCGGAACGTGCGCTCGCTCCGCTGACAGCGGGACACGGCCCCCACCAGCCCTGCTGTCCGCGGGGACTTGGCTCCGCTCTGGACACGGGCAGAGGCCGGTGTGGTTGGGATGGGGTGTCAGGCTCCCCACCACCCCGCTAGTGCTCCATGCTGGTCTTACTTCTGGAAATGAAGCGCTCAGCACCGGGAGGGCCCCCCCACCCCAGTCAGTCCTGCCTGGCCGTTTCCGATGCTGCAGCGACGCCCACTGGCCACTCCGGCACAGGCATCCGCGACAGACCTCAGGTTCCCCATCAGTGGTTCCTGTCCTTAGCTCCACACGTGCCCTCCCCTCGCTGCTGGGCCCTTCTGGGGACGCCTCTGGCTTCCTGACCGCCTTCAGCCCAAGTCCCCACCCAGCCTGAGCCCAGGCTTTCCTCAGGGCTGACACCAGAGTCTCCAGCTCCCCAGGGAGCCTGGGTGACCGAGGGGGTGTCTGCGTGTATCCTGTCCTCACCACCCTGACACCTCACTTCTCAAGCATGTGGTCATCCCGCCTCCACCCCCTGCCTCAGAAATTCTGGAGTTTCTGTTTTCCCTACCTGGACCGTGGCTTTCGACAGCTCCTGGAGCACCTGTGAGCAGATCATTCCCCCTGCTGGGCCTGCTGGAGACCATGACCAGCTCTGCAAACTCTCCTTCTCCACCTTGGCTTCTGTCCCACCCTCCCTCCCCTTCCTCAGGAGCAGCCCCCACTGCAGGCGCTTCCCTGTCCTGCAAGGTCACTCAGCTGCCATTCTCACCAGGGCCGCCTGGCATGTGCTGGGCAGACTCCTCTGTGGCTGACTGGAGCTGGGGGTGGCCTGGAGGGCACAGGGGACATGTCCTGATTTCTGGGGAGAGGGAGGGGTCACCCGGGGAGCCTTGCTCTTCCAGCCCAGCCCTTCAGAGAGTCTCTTGGGTCCCACAGATCGAGAGGGGAGTCTGTGTCCCTTCCCTCCCGCTCCAGCCCCCCCTGGTTCTCATTCACAGCTGTCCAGCGCCTCTGCTACAACTTCTCCATCATTCCTCGGCCCAGGGCCTGAACGACCATGGTGTGAGATTCAAGGCCAGGTGGAGGGGTCCCTCTTCCTTCACTATCGCTGTGGGGGGCAGGAGGTGAAACCAGTCTTTCCTCTGGGGACCAAGGAGGACGCCACAGAGGCCTGGGAGGGACAGACTGAATCCCTCAAGGACCTGATGGAGGAGCTCAAGAAGAAACTGCTTGACCTGCAACCAGGGATGGTGAGAAGCAGTGGTGAGTGGGGAAGCCCCAGGGCAGAAAAACATCCCCGTGGGCCCAGGAAACCATGAGGTTTGTGTCAAACTGTGGTGTTTGTGTGGAGTTGGTTCCTCCCCAGAGACCCCAAGGAGGGAGGATGTGGAGGACAGAGCAGGGCAGGGAGTCAAGGGCCAGGGGGGTGGGTACCGGGTGGGCCAAGGCTGTGGAGAGCAGAGACCCAGCTCTTTCCCCGGGGCAGGGCCCCTCTCCCTGCAGGGCACGGTGGTGTGTGAGGGGGAGGCCCGTGGACAGAGCCGCGCATCCTGGCGCTTCGTCGTCCATGGACACATCTCCCTGCGCCTGGACTCAGAGACCAGACTCTGGACGGGGGACCCGCCCGCAGACACGGGGAAGCTGGAGAGGTGGGCGGAGGACAGAGACCTGAACCACTTGCTCTTGAAGATGTCCCTCGGGCACTGCAAGATGTGGCTTCGGCAGGTGGCAGCGCACCGGGAGATGCCAGGGACGACAGGTAGTGCTGTGTGGGCAGGAAGCCTGGTTTTCTGACATGAGTGTGTGTGTGTGTGTGTGTGTGTGTGTGAGAGAGAGAGAGAGAGAGAGACTGGGTGTGAGTCTGCCTGAGGGAGCAGCTGATCCTGCACAGGGAGCGGCTCTCAGGAGACACTGGTCACAGGGGTGTTCTCCCTCCTTCCCCTTCTCCTCCCGCCCTCTCTCCACTGCCGGGGACCAGCGCAGCAGTAGACTGGCAAGGCCGTCCCAGCGATGAGAAACTGTGCAGGATGGTCAAGGATTCAGCGCATAAATGACAGACAGACACACTTCAAGAGTGAAGACCTGAATGTAATGTGCTCAAAATCATCATCCATTTTTATACCTTTTTTAACAATGGATGATTTCATACAAGTTAAATTTTTCTCAGCGTGAGATGATTACTAATACATAAGGCCTCATGCTATCTATCGTTATAGATGTGACCAATGTTGCATAGTAAAGGACAGATAACAATCTCAAGGTAATGATTACAGCAATCTAAGCCTACACAATTATTCATGATTGCACAGAACAGCATTCTTTAAGCTAGTTTTTCTTGTTCTGTTTCCAAGGCTACAGCTTATCAGTTATTGTAGAAAGTATAATATTTCACTGGTTCTACATTTTACTTTATGTAATCACAAACAATTTTTATATATGTAAGCATTTTTATATTTGTAGTATTGTCTCATGTGAGAAGTAGTATAATTACTTGAAAACTAACATTAGCACAAGTTATATTCTTTGTCATGCATTTCCAAGACAAAGATTTCACAAGTATAGAAAAGATAAAGTAGTTGAGAAAACAGTATAATTATAGAGTGGTTGCTAAGTTGCTTCTTATGCAGGAACAATGACCAACTGGTTAATAGTTAAACTGCTTTGTCGGTAGCTCCATCAGGCTTGTTTTCTGGTGACGTTCTGCGGCAGCCATGTTCTCAGGCAAAGGAGGGGTTTTTACTGCGGGCTTAGTGCCTGGATTGGGTTTACAAGCATTTAGGCATTTGCCAGAGTTGAACGGCAAAGATTTTCATGATGAAGCCCCTCGGGGACTGCGCCTGTCTTAGGTCATCAGGAGACACAGACATGCAGCTAGCCAGTGCCATCTTTAGTCTGCCCCCGATCTTACCCGTCATTGACTGTCCAGTCCAGCGCACAGGGGAAAGGGTCTTATTTACTCTGACTTACTGTGTGTCTGAGTAAAAGCCTCCCTTTTTCCATTAGGTTCACATGCGTTCAGCGGCAGAGGCAGCCGCATCTCCCCCTGGGACATTGCTCTGGGGATTCTAGCTGACCCCACACACAAGGGAGTCATGCTCTTTTCAGAGGTTTCCTTCTGACTCTCCCTTCTCTGAGAAACCCTTCCTCTGTCTCACCTGCTGTGTGTCTGCAGTCTGTCCTGTCCACCTCGCATGCCAGCTCCTGAGAGGACTCTCTGCACCTCTCCTGGGCCCTCCTCTGTCACAGCAGGGATGACTCATTAGAGGTCACCCTAGTTCCCTTCACTGTGTGAGGCCCTGGGGGTTCAGGGCCCAACTCCTGTCTTAGGCCCACCCATCACCCCCTACCCAGGGCCTGTCACTGTGGCCCAACAGTAGAGGAGTAGAGCGTCCTCCTCTATGCTGGAGCTGGGCCAGCAGGCGCTAGGCGGCCTCGTCTCACCTGTGGGGTCTGGCTGAGGGTTTTCACTCTTGGGTTTCCATTTCAGCATCGCCCACCACAGCCCCCTCACATCCAAAGCCAGGACTGTCAGACACATGCACTGGCTCATCCCTGTGACCCTCCTCCCCTGCACCATCCTACTTGGCATCATGGGTTACATTGAAGGTACTAGGACGTGACGTGCAGATGGCTGGTTGTGAGGAGGGGGATGGAATTTCCAGTCTTACCCCTGAACCTGCTCATGGGGGATTGAAACCAGGTGAGAAGGGCTCATGTCACCTGAGCAAGAACTTGGACAAGCCCGGCCCTGAGTGCCAAGGTGTCCTCACTGTGA